TCAATGATTATAGAAAAAAAGATTTTATAACCGTTGCTGTATCAACTCCGGCTTTGCTTTGGATTTTTTAAAGCGTCTTAAGTTAATAATCTTAAGTGAAAATAATGTTATTGATATGTTTTCATGGAAACAGTATGGAAATTACAATGTATAGATGTTTTGTATGAATTTGGAGGCTACTTTAAATAAATTCTAACTGCTTCACATGTGTTATTAACTTAACATAACTTGCACATCACATTATTTTTTATATGTATATTTAGGTAAATTAAGTTATTGTGTTTTGCTAAACCTATGCTTAAATTAAACTAAAGAATATCATCAATAACTAAATTGTCGTTGATTTTTGTTTTCTAAAATCTGTTGTATATGTATAACATTATATATTTAATTATCAAATGGTAATATAAAATACTCTTATTTTATCTTAACATAGCTTTCAGTTCACATTTACTTTATTTGATACATTTATTATTCGCGTTTTGCCACACCGCTGATTTAATTAAACCAAGGAAAATATCACAAAACTAAGCAGTACACAGTGTTCTTTTGTTTCTAAAATCAATGAAATATCTGTTACTATGTTTTCTTAATGGTAAGTGTGAAAATGTAAAGGCAATGGACTATGGAACTGATTAAAAGAACTGGTTTGTATATTAAGTTGTTTGTTGATATTTTTGTATAGTAGAATCAGAGATGCAATGAAACATATGCTGTATTTGCTATTACATTTTTTAGTCCTTGATGCTTTGATAATCATATTAGTTTTGTCTGCTGTCTTTAATGCTAAATTATTTGTTTGACATTTTTTATAGTACATATAGATATACTTTCTTTAATATTTCAAATGACTGTATTGATAAGGCACAGCAATATTTCTAAAGTTTATAACAGCTGACTTAGTTTTTCTAATGATTTATTGTGAGTGAAAAAAACTTAAGATGAAAGGATTTGTGATTTAATATAAAGAAGAGTTTAATATAAAGATATTTAAATTTAATAATTAGTATTTTTGCAACTTCAAAATTGAAATTTTAAATGTCAATATTAAATTTAAAAAATGTGTAATTAAGGGAGATGAAGGTAAATCTGGTAAATCATGTACCTATGTCAAAGTTTTACTCGAAGATTTGGTCAGTTTTTCTCATATCAGCCTACACAAGATTTAAAATTAATCAAAACCAAAATGGTGGTATCCACTTCTTACCAGATTTAAAAGTCATAACTTAAACGTTTCTGTTAAGGCCATAAAAGTTGAATTTTGTTTCTAAAAGAGTTGGCGGATGTGTAACTACTATATGCAACAGATAAAGATTAAAATGTTTCTATTTTGTGTCCTCTTCCCGTTGCAAAGCACGGGTACAACTGCTAGTAGTTTTATATAGCAATAATTTATTTTCTAGACTAAGTTTTGATTTTCTTCCGATGAGCCAATTTAATTGATTAGATTTTAAATTTAGTTGTTGCTGTTTTCTCCAAATGTGTGTTTTCCAAGTTAACTTCCTATCTAAATGGATACCTAAGTATTTAACCTCAGTTACTTCGGGAAGTTGGGTGTTGTTTATTGTGACAGGAGGACAAGAATTTTGATTTAGAGTAAAAGTAATGTGGACAGATTTAGTTTCATTAATTTTGAACCTCCATGTCTTAAACCAATCAGTAATTATGTTAAGATTTTGCTGTAAATTTAGAGAAGCTTGAAATGGATCACGATGAACAGACAAAACCGCAGTATCATCCGCAAATGTAGCAATTTCTACCAACTCATTTTCTGGGAGATCTGCTGTGTAGAGAATATACAAAAACGGCCCGAGGACACTTCCTTGAGGAATCCCAGATTCAATTGGACGTAGGTTAGTGAGGACGTCTTGATATTTAATTTGGAAAGTCCTGTTTTGAAGGTAGGATTTTAAAATGCTATAAATTGAATGGGGTAAAAACTTTTTTACTTTATATAACAAGCCAACATGCCACACCTTATCGAATGCCTGGCTAACATCCAAGAAGGCAGCTGAACAAAACTTTTTATCTTCCATACATTGACGTATCACGTCAACAACTCGGTGAACCTGTTCTATGGTACTGTGTTTCCGTCTGAAACCAAACTGATGTGCAGGAATCACATCTTCGCCAATAAGTTCTTGTATTCTTTTCAGAAGAAGTTTTTCAAATAACTTAGACATTATTGGTAAAAGACTTATGGGTCGGTAAGAACTTACCTGGTCAAGAGGCTTCCCAGGTTTCGGAATGACTATCAATTGTGCTCTTTTGAAATGATATGGTACATATTCAAGTTTTAACATTGTATTAAATAAAATAGTCAAAAACATTATTCCTTTTCGTGGAAGCTCTTTAAGTATTTATAGGTTTACTGCTATGAGTACATAAAAATTCATCGTTAACCTAACAATATTTCAAAAGTCCTCCATAAAAAAAGAAAAATAAGTATAGACTAGTGTACATGTTGCTCGAAATCGAGCAATTGCAAAGAAGTACAGGAGTTATTTATAAACAAATAACTTGTTTAAAAACTAATAACATTCATAATTTATGATGATTTTAAAAGAGTCAACTAAAAGATTATTAACTGATAAAAATACTCACAATTTACATGACAGTCCTATTCCAGTTTAAAGGGTTAATTTTTAACAATCAATCTGCCCATGTACGGGAAAAGATAAGCTTACAATTTAAGTCAACGTAAAAAGGCCGTCAGCTTTTATAAATTACCGTACCTAAGTTGTTTAGCCAATATCTAGACAATAAGGTGTAGGCTACTTTAAACTCTACAGGATAGAGTTAGGCAAAAACTGGCAGAACTCTGAAATGGTGTTATTTATCATAGGCTTACTCATATGCCAAATCCTTAGAATAAAAATGCAATAACTAATAACCGATATCATTTAACACAAACCAACATCCAAAACTAAACATATTTTTAATACAACATAGATAATTTACACATTGACTGTTTTACATTATGTTCTTCTTCTCACAATTAATTTTTGCTTCGCAACGGGAAAAATCTGTTTCATAATCATTGAAATAGATTTATAATAAATAATCTATCATAAAGTTTAAGATTAAATAAACCTACCACATAGTTGTTTTACATGGTGGAAGGAAAATACATTTTTTGGATCAGCTGTCGGAACTTGTGAAATAGACATTTGACAGTTCTGATTGTTTACAAAAAAATGTCAAAGCAAATGTAAACATTGTGAATTTTCTCATGCTTCCATGGAGACCAATTATTTAATATTTAATTTCTGACAACAGCTGGAGTTTCAAAACAATGTTTGTTTCCCATGTTAATCTTAAGGAGAAATGCGAAACTTTAAAGGGCCCCAGGTCCTCACTCTTTAATTATTTAACTAAAAAGAAAGTTTCCTGCACAACTTCACGTTACGCTCTTTCCAATGACACCAAAAACATGCCAATCGGTTCAGTAGTTTCGGAGGAGTAATTGTCACAAAAATCGTGCTTGCGTATTAAATAAGTACGAGAGGTCGTCCAGTGGTCGAAACTCGACCATAAATATGTAATGTAAACTTACTCACTTCTCTATTTTCACCCCACACTGTAAATAAAACATGTGATTGGAGTTTCTTCCATTTGTTTTGATTTTATGTTTATATTTCGTTGTTATTTCGTCACCAGCATGGCAACGCATAAGATCCATGTTAATTTTTTCAAATTTTTAAACGCATTTTTTGTGCTTATCTTTGAGCCTATTTAAATTTATAAAGGGATTCTGCACACCTACAGGAAAGTAGCTTTCTAACGGTATGCGTAGATTTACCCCACGATGCACACGAGCTGAGAAAAAAGGTTTTAAAGAAACATGCTTGCCTATTAATATATAGATAGATAGATTCCTAAAATCATCTGTAAACAAGCAATTATTTACCCAGTACGCTAGGATCGAGCCCGGGATTGTGTTTCACATTATTTTAGGCCAGATATAGGGGTTGCAGAATTATAACTTAGATAAAATCCATTGGTGGTTTGTACCAGCTTGCTCCTCACCAAAAGAGGTATATTAAAAAAATAAACGTTTTATGAGTTTTCCCAATCAGTTTTAATCTTTAGAAAATATTTTCTGAAACTCGTTCCTATCTTGATCTCTTGTTCTAATATTCTTTGTCTATAATCAATTCTTCAATGGAATTAATCAGTTTAATGGCAATCATAACACCAAGCTGCAATTTGTAATTTACAAAACAAATAATAGAACATACTGCTGTATTTTGGCTGTAAGACAAAAAAAAGAAGTGAGGTGTAATATCAGATAGTTAAAATATACAAAAAATTAGAAAACATATTAAGCTAAGGGCAGTATTTTAAAATATATAAATATTTAGAAATATTTTTCATGGTACTTGAACTTATCAATTTTTGTAACTGCTTGCGTCTGTGTTAAGAGCAATGTGAGGCTTTAGCTACAGCAAGGTAAACATCTACAGGTCACTAAGCCAATCCGATTAACAACAACAATATGTGACGTCATGTTAGTATAAGGTGATCAGCTGTTGTCAGATCCGCTTATAAAGGTCAATCTGGAGCTATGGTTAAGCTAGGCCGAATTTTATTTTGGTTTTAGATAAATGAACCTGGCTAATGAAACCGTTGATTTAGTAATTAACAAGGCTATATAGATAATCTCACTCAATTCTACAGTACACTCACCCTTAATTCATATTTGGGTTAAAGTACACACCTAGGTGGCGTCCTCAACTCCCCATCTATTTTGTTTCTTCACAAACCTTCCCACTGTTTGTAGGAATAGCCTTGGTAAGTTTGGCTCAAATATTGTGGCCATTATTGTGGTTGTGGCATACAAGTTTGAATTGAAGTCGATCCCAACGAGCTTCGCTTCGCTCGGGTTTGCAGTACTTCGTGTATGCATTACCTATACTCCCAGATATGAAACAAATGGCGACATAACATAGTGACATTTCATAATAGTTTACAGTAGGTACTAGGGTAAATTACAGACATTTTGTGCGATTTCAATTTTATTATTTTCAATACATGATTTACAATTAAAAAGCTATTATAGAACGCAGAACACGCCTTAACAGTGGTCTTCAAAGTAAATCCCACTTGTCATTGATCAGCTCACGTAGTAGTTCATTCTTTTCACTAGAACTTAAAAAACTGGCATTGCAAGCGTTGATATTCTGAAAAAGAAACAAGAAAAATTCCAAGTCTAATTCTAAGTAAGTCTTTAACTAACATTTAACTAACAATAGTCCAGATAATAAATTTAGTTTGATTGAGGTCTAAAGCTGTTTATATTTTTATTTCTTATTCTGTTATTACAAGTTGCAGTTTTGCTTAATTTCAATGGGTTTTAATTGCACGAATGGTAGATATGTAGCTATGACATACAGTAAATTAAAAGAATCATTTAATGCTTGTACTTTTATCAAATATGTTTACCGTACCATATAAAATAACCATGATATTGAAGAATACTAACACTATTACTGTAGGTCTCATGGTTAGAGATGGACCTAGGACCAATTAATTATTTACTTTTAAGTTTTTATGTTCCCAGAGGTAAATAACACAATCCGTTTGAATTCATTTATACTTCAACTTTTCATCAACTGTATGAGGCGTATGTATCTATTTATGCTTGTGTGTGTCTATTAGCACGATGCGGTAACTCGAGCCATGTTAGCAAACGGTTTCTGTGGAATTTGATACAAACATGTTATCCTACTTATTTGAATGAGTTCAGGAACTAACAAGACACAAACATGAGTAATACAATGTTAAATGCAGGAAGGTTTTCATCAGAGATTTGTGTCTGCATAGTTTTATCTCACCGCATTAGCCAGCTGTTGACGGCTGATACCCCAAGATTTCAGCAGCTCATAGTCGTCGACTAATGTATGACCTGTGACTATAGGGTCGTCATCACTCACGGAGAAATTGGCACCGTCTCTGGCAAACCTTACAAAAAAACACTCACAACATGTTGTTAATCATATTTTGGTACGACAGACCATTGGCAACAAATATAATGGAATTAAGCATCTTTTTAGTTACTACGGTCTTAAAATGAAAATACACCTAAGCTATACTGGTTTAGAACGTTGAACGTTAAACTGGAGTATTACTATCCTTTATCGAAGAGTGGTTTGTCAACCATCTATCATAGGTTGGAGAACCATGGAAAATGTTCTTCTTGTTCAAAACATAAATAGTTTAACCACATATCAGTTGTGGTACGTCACAGTTCAGGCATATCAGTCACGTGATAGTCAACAAAATATTCTTTAATGGATTTTCTATTGCGCTATCTACACTCATCAGGTGCAGGTTTGTCAGTCGCTCTGCCGGCGTATACCAGACTGAAATTTTGCTTCTCAACGGATTGTTCGGACGCCTGACTGACGTATTTGAGGTTATAAAGTAGTTTTTTTTTTTTTTCATTCAAACGGTTGTGTTTGTATTTTAAGTACTGTTTAACAATCAACAAAATGGAACAACTTTGATAGAATATTGTGTTTTAATCAAACAAAATTTGAATGTAAATAAAAGGTCACTGTAAATAAAAGGACGGAAAACTGACTGTAACCAAATGACTGACAGTCTGACTGAGAAATTACGGATGCAACTGAGACTGAACTGTGACTGTGACTGGACTGATATGTGTTAATCGACCTTTAGGCGGCTTTGCCTTACAATTTCAATACCGAGGAATTTATAGGCTAGTCTTTTATGGGATCAATTTCAATTTTAAATCCATTTAATATCAAGAGCTTTACAAATGTAAGAAAAATATTTTTTTTTTACCACTTAAAAATGATGAGTATTCTTGTTGGAATTACCTGCAAATTGGGTGATTCTCTCCCCCTGCTTTCACGGAGCCTGTCATGAGACTAGAGTAGGGACAACATTCAAAGTGGACTTGGTCCTTTATACATTTCTTGTAAATGGCAGCGTCCTCCACCACGTGGTACCCGTGTCCCACCCTTTCACTACCCAGCTTGTACACAGCCTAAAACACAACAATATCATGAGACTAGAGTGTGGACAACTAACATTCAAAGTGGACTTGGTCCTTTATACATTTCTTGTAAATGGCAGCGTCCTCCACCACGTGGTACCCGTGTCCCACCCTTTCACTACCCAGCTTGTACACAGCCTACAAGGCAACAATATCATGAGACTAGAGTAGAGACAACATTCAAAGTGGACTTGGTCCTCAATACATTTCTTGTAAATGGCAGCGTCCTCCACCACGTGGTACCCGTGGCCCACCCTTTCACTACCCAGCTTGTACACAGCCTAAAACACAACAATATCATGAGACTAGAATGTGGACAACATTCAAAGTGGACTTTGTCCTTTATACATTTCTTGTAAATGGCAGCGTCCTCCACCACGTGGTACCCGTGTCCCACCCTTTCACTACCCAGCTTGTACACAGCCTAAAACACAACAATATCATGAGACTAGAATGTGGACAACATTCAAAGTGGACTTTGTCCTTTATACATTTCTTGTAAATGGCAGCGTCCTCCACCACGTGGTACCCGTGTCCCACCCTTTCACTACCCAGCTTGTACACAGCCTACAAGGCAACAATATCATGAGATTACAGTAGGGACAACATTCGAAATAGACTGTCAAAGGAAGTTTCCAGCGCCCACCGCTAGGACTGCCGTGTAGTTACGGTGCACACCGCTGCAGGCAAGGAGCGCAACGTCGTATGCTACCAGCAGACGCTGCAGCGGTGTGCGCCGTAACTACACGACACTCTTAGTGGTGGGCGCCAGAACCTATGCTAACCACAGCACGGTTTTCGGTCAATGTTTAATTCTTGTTGTCTATGGTTTTGTATAGCAGATACACTCATACCCTGTCCACTGCGGAGGCTGTGCCGACCTCGGCGGCATGGACTGTGCGATGGATTCCTGTCTTGGCCGCCTCTCTGTACACCGATACGACGGGCTCTTCCAGTGGAGCCTCGTCTGCAACCAAGGAAATATAACAAGACTATAGTGGTGTTAATAGATAATAGATAGCCATAAAAGAGTTTAATCTGTTAACAATTTTATTTACCTCCTGATAACATGCAACTTAATATTAATCTATAAAACTTCTAGACTTGTGAGTAGATTTTGAACTATACTGTATAACCTATCTATATATATAAAATCCAATGTATGTTTGTTTGTATGTTTGTCCTTTATGGACTCCGAAACCGCTCGACAGATTGTAATGAAACTTTTAGGCATTATTAAGCATTATTCAATGATGGTTTGTGTAAAGTTTGGTGCAGATCCGTCAAAAGGGCTCCGCCCCAGTGGCTCTGGAGTTTCCCATGTTAACCTTATGAGTACTCATATTTAAATGGAATTAAAGAAAATTAACAGCTGGTTTAACTAAGCAATTTGATTCTGTGATGTTCAATAGCATTAAAAGTTAATAAGTTTACCAACAGGGTGCAGCACAATTATATTTTTTAAATTTATGACAACAGCTAATTTGCAACCAAAAGGTGAGTGAGCGTAGCGAACGAACTTCAACCTGAAGGCAAGTGAGCACAGCGAACGAGCTCCAACCTAAAGGTGAGTGAGCGTAGCGAACGAACTTCAACCAGGATCTTGAAAATGAACAAGCATTTGACATAAAAGCATAGGACAGGACGACGTCTGTCGGGCCAGCTAGTATTATATAAAAATTATGGTTACCTAGTTCTTAATGAGTCGTCCTAAACATTTCATGGTTAATGTATAAAGGGGAACTATTGACGATGAGTGTCACTGGAGGATTAAACTAACCCGGTGAGCATTTTGTTTGCCAAAAAATACTAACTATTAAGTTTGATTTGAATTTCACAAAGATTCACAAACTTTTCCTCACACTATTTTCCCTGTAATTGGATTGATTTAAAAACTTTGTATGTGCCCAGATCTTAAATACTTGAGACTTATATTTAAGACCATAGACAAAATTTTTTGTCTATGGTAAGACTTAACTTGTAATTTATATCTCCAAAAGCCTTATTTGGGCAGCTATTCACCTATAACGACTCCTGGAGGCTGTAAAGTAAGCAAATCAATTCCAACAACTCCTTTGTCGAAATGTTTCTGGCACTGACGAAGAACTTCGGTCATGTCATTGAAGTCTTTACTGTATCGAGCGCATAGAATCTGCTTAGTTTTGACACCAAAGTCCTTGCGTCCACGTTCCAACCCATGTGAAATTCGCACAATAACTTCATCCAGTGCTAAAACATTAAATCCAAATACGAATTAGTAGGCTGATCAAAGATAAGTTGGTAGGGACAGAATGTGTTTCTGAATACTTAAATGAAGTGTAGCCTGCGCACATGGTAATTAATTACTTAAATAAGAATAGAAGATCATTTTATTAATTTAGAAGGTTAACAAATAACGTTTAGCATATAAGATTTGGCATCACAGGAGGATTGGCAAACCCCCCCCCCCCAGGAGGGTTGGGGGCATTTATTAATTTATGCCCCGAACATAACTTAAATTTTGGAGGGTTGGGGTCATTACGGTTTGAAGGGTTGGGGCTATTAACGTTTGGAGGGTTGGGAGTATTGAGGTTTGGAGGGTTGGGGGCAAGTAAGTTTGGAGGGTTGGGGGTATTGAGGTTTGGAGGGTTGGGAGTATTGAGGTTTGGAGGGTTGGGTTCAAGTAAGTTTGGAGGGTTGGGGGTATTGAGGTTTGGAGGGTTGGGCGCATTAAGGTTTGGCCTTGGACCACTATCTTGTAATACCATTTTAATATTACCTGCAAACTATTTTGTATGATAGTTAAATTAGATGCATAATTACAGTGTATGATAACTTGGATGGATTAGCCTTCAAATCAAATTTCGGGCATCATCTTGCATGTTACACCGAAAACATTCATCTTTTTATTTAAAACCTGATGCCATAAAACTCATGTTTAAAAAATCACCTCCAGAAAGGTTATAGCTAACTATTACAAGAGACAGAACCAGTTTGGCGATTTCCTTACCACTCGGGCCAAGTTGAGCGAGAGCCTTTTCCCCCAATGCAATTCTTGGGCTGTAACGCGGCTCCGCGTAGATCACTCCTGCTTTACTCTCGTCCTCGCAGAACTCATAAGCCATCCGCTCCATTGCGTCCAGGTCACCTCTGTGAGAAGAGAGAAATAAATAGTAAGGCATAGAGAACAAGGAGACTTTAAATATTGCTTTGACAATTTCATTTGTTTAACAGAATGTACAAGTACTAAATGTAGATTTAAAGCGGATATTTTTGTACGATTAATGTAATGTAGTGTAAAGAATCAACTGATGCAAAATAACTTAACATCTGTTAAATTTCTAATAAATCACCATATGGTTTATTAGGTGGGAATCTCCTAAAATTCTTCGAAAGGGAAAATAATAAAGCAACACTTTCACCATATACGATGGTATAGGGGGTGAAAGTAGAAATGCATTAGTTTAAGATGATGAAACAAAAAAAATATGATAATGAACGTAGATAAAATATTATTTAAAAAATGTCAATGAAAAACTCAGATTGGTCATCTGTTGGGTTAAACGTAGGTTCATAGTTTAAAACTATCACTCGTTTATGAGGTATGGTTTACAATTTTCGATTCCACGATTTTTCATAATTTTAAAATGTTATAAGCGTTTATTAAACAAATGTGATTCATACTAATATGAAGAGTACAATGAAAAAATACTTACTCCAGCGGTGGCCAAAATAAGCCAAACTTTTGTAGGAAACCATTCAGGTTGCTAGGTTTGGTGACAGTACATGCCTTCTTAAACTGGTCCAAAGTCTCTACACCTGGGATAGAAATCTTCTTCTTCCTAAAAGAATTATAAATATACAACAGTAACTTTATTGTATTATAGGTTGTGATGCAGTTTTAAAATTTGTTAACTAAAAAAAACCTTTTGAGTAGACATTAGTTTATTTTTGAGCTAAACTCTAGGATAGTTTTAAGAAAATATATTTGTAAAGTTGTCTTACTACAAGAGACAAATTATCAACAAACAAATTACAGTCCATCTATATGTGTAGTTTATTTTTAGGTGAGGTAGCTTCTACGTGTGAGGTTGTTGGACAATTGAACTACCCAATCTTGACGCAATCACAGCGCAACCCTCACACCAAAAGTTTAAAAAGGAAAATTAAAACAATATAATTTTATTTAATGACAACAAATGTGGACCAATATCAGAAAAAAAAGACTGAATGCTATACTTACTGTCTATGGGAAAAGTGTGAAACCTTAAGAAAACTGAAAATTACATTTAGATACCTAGGTAAAATCACATGAATAAATGAATGCCCCTCTGCCAATGGTATTTTAAAACCAACTAAGGCAGAAACCCCTTAACAACTATTAAATTCTTGCAGTAAGAATATCTTCATTTAAAACTAAATGATTCCATAAACGTTACCGGTCCTACATCTCATTCAAACGTTAGTTGAGTTAAACTAGGATAGTTTGATTTTTTTCATTCGTGTTTTGAAAAGTAAATAAATGTTTTTACTTCGGTAAAATACAGCAACTTGTACTAGCCTATTCATTTTTAACCTGGAAGAATTTGCATGGGAGTGAATGGCATAGCTTCACTTAAAAGTAGGCCTTATAGTTACATAAGTTACTTTTTGATAGTTAGAACATGGTTTGGTATTTTTTTTATATAAAAACAACATTAGTTAACTTACTGTGCATACTCCCAGGCCGTGCTAGGTCGTACAGCTCCGTCCAGATGAATATGAAGTTCTACCTGAAATGTACAAACGTAGAACACAATAGTCAGTAAATAACCGACAAAGTGGTTCTATTTTTGACTGAAGTAAAAATATGGTGTTGACATTGAAAATAATTCATATAGAACTGTCATTAACGTGCTTTTATTTCGTGTTTCATGTCTAGGCATATATCTTATTTGTTTTAATAGTGAAATATACTTAACTAAAAACTTCAATTTCTCAGTACTGTGACACTATATTGACTGTGTAGGGATTAGCACATTTATAACAAAGGTTATGAGTATTCCTATAATAGTTTAGTCTGCATGTCTGGAAAAATGCACACTCAACATTGAACCCAACCGCTGATCTGTATATGGATCTGTATAATAAGGTTTCAATTGGACAAAAAATCCCCGTCCGTACAGAAAGGGTACATAGCTGGTCAATATTTTCAAATAAAAAATCACTTTCATGTAAATTTAGCAAAATAAACAGCTGTACTTGGTCACAGCTGAACTACACAGGTTATCTTTATTTCTACCCTCATTTTAGTTTTAAATATGTAAACAAATTGTTTCGTATTATACTCAAGTTAGTAAGTGATGACTTGCCTTTTTTATTCCATCACTTCGACGCCGAGACTGTGTCATATGTGGCCCGAGCTGCCTCACGCCCTTAAACCACAAATAATTATAAAATTAATCGTTTCACCTTTTGACAACTTCTATATTGACTATACACAGGATTGACTTCCCATTTAATATAAAAAATTTAAGCAAAAAAAGTGGGCCAATCTGAGATTGTCTACCACAATGACAATATTCTGACACTAAAAAAAACAGGCCGTAATGCTCGCCAAGCATGACGTCACGATAGAAGACGGCTATGACGTATAAGTACTTATTTATTTATTTTCCAATGAAAGATTAAAACAAGCAGCTGATCACAAACGGCAAAATTACGTCATTGCCGTCTTCTATCGTGACGTCATGCTGGACGAGCATTACGGCCTGTTTTTCTAGTGTGGCCTTGTGCCAAGTGATAAATCAATCAGCTGTTTGCTATGATACTCCATGTGTTTTAATTAATGTTTAAATCAATACACTAGTACCATATAAAGTCAATGCTAGTACCGGAGTATGATTTATCTATGCTAGTACCCTCTGATGATATGGTCCTGAACTTATTATAACCTTATATAACCTCAAGTCTATTATGTGTATAGTCAATGCTTCTCTAACCAAATACGTTACATACAATTAATTCTAAGACCACTATTAGGGGTTTGTTAACAGAAAATTTAGATTATGATGCTCAAATATAATTTTATTTTTGAAAGGATACCATAAACAAAAACTATTTACTCCACAACATGTTACCAACATTTCATAAGAGCAGATTTATAGCCATGCTAAACAATATTAGTATTTTCAAACCTACCTTCAACATGTTTATATTTGAATCAAAAGGTTGACCAACCTCAAGTTGACCAGCCTTGGTTGTGCCCGGAAATGGACCATGCCCATCTTCAATAGCAGGTCCCATTCCTTCTCCAGGATAAGTAACTGTTACAATTCTTCTCTTCAACCAGACCCCAGGCTTGAGTGGCGTTTGGTAACCTCGGGCCTGAAAAAGTATAGTTAAACTGTACAGTAAAATCCTTAATATGAACAGTCTGTATTTAAATAACACAGCAGTACAACAGCAGCAGTACATCTCAATTATACAATTGTTGACAATTGTTGACAGATTGTACATGAACATGCTTAAACATTTCTGCTTCACGAAGAGGACTATTATTCTTGTTTAGAATTTTGCTTAGATTATTTTTGTATATGACGTATTTTGCGCTAAAATGCATAGTTTGTGAGATATTCAATAAAAACCAAAAAGTTTAAATGTTTCTAACTTGTACCCCCCCCTCACACACACACGAACCCTAAGCTCAAATTGGTGTAACTTTTTACCAAACATTATGTTGACTGTACTGAACAACTAAGAGTCAGAAGTGTGCTTTATATCACATGTTCCTTGTATATTTACTACATTTTTATATCACTGGGCCTTCAGCTATTTATTTAAAAATGTCAAATGGAAAATGCATGTAATATCCTTGATACATACTGCATTTGTATTGTTATGTGTTAGAAAAAGAAAGTGTACTTACCTTTTGTGGTTGAGTAAGCATGGCCAATGTTTGCTGTAAAAAATATGTCAAAAATTAAAATTCAAAACTAGTACCTTTATAGATAAAACAGACAGTTTTTGTAGTGATTTTATCATGGTCAAAATCTTTTGGGAATTGGCTGAGTAATTAGGTTTGCTATAATTACACTTGAAACCTTTAAAAAAACTATCTATTTTACAACAGTTTGGCTAAAGGTAACAGCTAACATTAAAATACAGTTTTAGAATAGAAAATTCCCAATTTTGAGGGAATTACGGGTTTTATTTAAGGTACCGTTCATATTCCGTTTGAGCAAGAAGTTCTAAAATTTCACAAGTGTGTACTTTAAGCACACAATAGGTTTTTAACGAGTTCCCATCAGATTTAAGATCCAAGAATTGGCTAAGCTTACACACTGGCCAAAATATAATATCTTACATAGTCAAATTAAACCGAAAATAGCCCTCCCCCTAAACCACCATTAGTCAAATTTCGCCGAGAAATAGCCCCCCCCTAAACCTAAGTCCCCCTTTGCCAAATTTGATAACTTTTGTAGGTCGTATATTTTGTGAGATATAGTGATACTTCTTTCGTACTGTACGAAATTTGCCTTTTATACCAGATATTTCATGATTGAGATTAAAATAGTTTATATTTACAGGGATTAAATTTTGATTTGATGGACTTGTTATAATTGTTAAAAACAATAACACTGCAACTATAAGGTTAAAACTAGTATACCTAAACCTAATTTTAGGCTAAACAAACCTTCATCACAAAAACTTAAAATTTTACGACGGTTTGAAGTTTTTTAGCTTTTACTTTGAGTAGTACTATGTTGTCAAGCTAGATGACTACTATTTCATTCAGTAAATAAAATGAAAAAGAGGGGTATTTGAAATTGAACATAGAGTAAAGTCCACTTACTTTGGCAACGTTTAAAGTGTCCTCTACTGGAGTCTTCCATTCGCTACATCTGCCCTGCTATAGGTTAATCAGTGAATTAATCATACTATAAAAAGTGTTTTTTTTACACAAAATATGGAATAAAATATGCTATACACTATACAGAAAGGAGTTTAATTAGGAAATTCAGAGTGAAAAACTTAACTTTTTCTTTTGAAAAAATCTTTTGACAGAAATTCTCTTATTTCACCCAACATTTTATAGTGGCCTCCCCCAAAATGTAGCACTTTCAAAATGTCTAAGGCCTTATGAGTAAAGGATTTTTTGTTAATTAATTTCTTCAACCAATTTGGAACATAATTTACATTTTCTATTTTTTTCTAACTATCATTATTTAGGGTGTTCTTTTTCCAAACGAATCCCTATTTAGAAATAGCGTGAGGAGCTGTTTAATGACAAAACAAGGTTATTTAATGTTGGCATCCCTGGTTACCTTTTAACAAGACAAACATAGTTTTTTAAGATACAGTTTCCTTAACTTTTCAAGTCAATAAAGAGTTGGTTTATTTAGTACTGGTATCACAGCTGGAAACTTAATTTCAATTCTTTCTTGGCACGAAATCAATCTTTTTTGCTGAGTAATCACAATACCTACTCTTCGAGCATTGCGAAAACTCCGTATTGAGTTTTTATCACAAAACCTTCCCAAAAATACCAAACATCATAGATAACTATGAAGCAATGCATATCAGCTGATCGGTAGTGAAGTAAGGAAATCGGGGATACCAATATCATTAATTGGTATATCTATCTATCTATCTATCTATATATATTTATAATACGTGAAGCCATTTTTTGTTAAGGCAACTCCTCCCTTATTTGTGGACTAATTTCAACGTTTAAGGTGTCGAAAGATTCGTCTCAATATGTAGTTTTGCAATAAGGTTTTACAATTTTAAACTTCCTACTCTTAAGGGCGTGAGACCCTCTCAAAGGTCGGGGTTTCCCCATTCTATGTTATGTCAAATAATGTCAAAGGCCAAGTTAAACAATTTATCAGTTTTGTTGGAAGAACAGAAAATGCCTCAAGTTCAAAGAAGAAACATTGAAAACGGGAGGAGGAGAAGATTAATAATAAGATATCTTATGTGTATGAGGAGAGTAGAAAAAAAGAGGCCTGGTCTATAATTTAACAGATACCCATCCAGATACAAATTCACTTGGTGAGATGAATAATATTTGACAGTTATGCTATGCAACTTACATTTGGAAGTGGAAAAATATATGAAGCACATAGTGCTTTCACGTTGGTGAAGTAAACTTGGCTAATCACAGATCAAATGAATGCATGCAAGAATTGTTTACTTCTGACACTTACAGATCGAGAAATTTCTAAACATTTAGTAGAAACTATAATAATGCATTGACTATGATAAGTTCAAGTAGTAAGATTATACCAAATCCTTGCGGACCTTATGTTTTTATTGTAAACTTTCTGTATTACTCAGTCTACTTCAATTGAGAAAAACGCAAATGGATTGTTTACTTCTAGGTTGTGTTGCCCGTATCTCTGACAAACTTATATACCAAATTATTTTTGGACTGAATTCACCAACACAATCCAGACATTTCAGGACAAAAATCAGAAGTTTCAAAAACTTAGTGGCAATATTAGATCAAACATAAGTGAAGAAATTAGTGTTTGTATTTAACGATCGAATAGTTACGGTGTTTTAGCAGTTCCATTTAACCAATGTTAAACAATGTTTATTTTCGGGCCAAAAACGTCATTTGTTGATGTTTATGATCCATACCGGGTATTTTTCTAGTAATCGTGGGATTCTCTACGGAGAAAATTCGTTTGTTTAGAGTGAAGTCTCAAATCAAGGAAATAAAATTAGCCAAACTTAAATTACTTAACACTTGCTATCAGTAAGGCAACAGTTTTCTTTAATTCTCAAATCTGGAAAAACTTTGTTGTAACATGTTAACTCGAATTGAAGCAGATCGTTTAGCAATTATTAGGAGTTATCAGTTAAAACTGAGAGCAGAAATAATGTAGGTAGGTGAACCTTTTACAACGCAAATAGAGGTATTTAAAATTAGTTTCTAACAAGTGTTTAAACTACTCTAAGATGTAACTAGAATTACTCTAATTTAAGCATAACGTTTTCCTCGGAGTTATGTTTTATACTATGCGGCTCATTGAGCCGCACGGGTACTCTAGTTACATAATAATAATGGTATGGTACATTATGTGTTTGTTTTGTCATTAAAAAGTTTCTTATATCCCTTCTTGTAATTTGGGTTGAGTTAAATAAACCACCCTGTATTATTCCGCTTAATGTAGGTACTGTAATATTAATTATAGTGAACTTACCATGTTTAGTAAATATTGTATGAAGTTTGAATTACACTGCAACAGAGAATATCAAATAATTAAGTTGAATTCAAACAAAACTAGAACAAAATTGAGTTTTATGGAATTATATCACCCCATGGATTAGATATTATACCCAATATGATATTTTATGATTATGCGCACTTTCATTAAGTAGGTTAACTTCATGATCAGCATTGAATGTGTTATTTAATTCATGGGAATTATATAAAATATGTCTAATTGTCTAATAACACTATTGGAACAAAAATTTACACTTATACTGTTGATTCGCAAGACTTCGCGATACTTTTTATAAAAGATTGTAAATAAGAGGTGATCGATTTTAATTGGACACTCAAATCAACATCACGCCTTAATAAGCAAGTGACAACACAGAACAGTATGACTGTAAGTATGTCCTATGCTTCAATAGGTTTTAAACATATTTTATCTACTTTCTTTATCATTAGGTGTAAACAATTAAAGTAGTCAATAATTATTTTACATGAATTTAGTAAAATATAATTTAAATATTGTTTCACACAGCTAAACTTGAAAAACTATAATTTTCAATATCAGTAATTCTGGGTGTGCAGTTAATTAAAGTTATTCTGTTTGGAATTATTTATATGAACAGTCCTACTTTGTTTATGGTAGGTTCTTGGAGGCCTGCCTTGAATTTCTGCACAGACGACCAAAACCTTGTCAAGATCTAAAATTTAAATCTATTAACTATATGTAAAAGTAGAACAGTGCTGTTGATTCCTTTGACTGTATGATTTAGTGTATATACCGTTATACCAGGCTAGGCTACATAGTTCTTATTGTTCTATTGTTCTACAGAGATTTGTACCGGACTCTTCAGAGATTACTAGTTTCCTGTGATGCCTGGCATGAAAGCACTCTCAGCCAACTTTGTCAAGATCAGACTCAAAGTCTCTAGCCTAATTAAGGTGAAGAGCTTCTGTCTTTAGAAGTTTGCTTGGTTAGGCTTTATACAGGGTATCCCATTACCTCGGAAAATGGTTCCATGGGTCTAAATTAAGTGAAAATGAGGAATGGACATTTTTCAACCGGTTTAACCACCTTTAAGTTTTGTCCCCCTTCATCTTAGAGAAAATTTATCTGTACTTATTTCCTGGTTGTAACGTGGCTATGCCATTAGGAATAAACAAATAGGTGTTCTTTTGCAGGATTATCTTTACGGCCCGCGGATGCTTGCAAGCCTTTTTCGTCTATTTTATACCGGTACCGATTGCATCCTAGGTTTTTAACAAGCAATCAGTAGTTTCGAACTCTTGCCACCCCAATTCATGGCCCAATTAATTCTTTTGAGCCAGAAATGTTCCTTATTTCGAAAAGCGGTGCCCTAGCCTATTATTTAGTTTATACTCAATTTTTAAGGCGGATTGGCCATTAAAAATATAGTTAGTACATAGCCTACTTAAAATAGTGTAAGAACTGAGCTTACAAAGAGGCATATTAAGGCACCCTGTGTAATTATAACGCGGCTTGACATTTCTAGACCATTCACTGCTATGATAACTATGAGAAAGTTGTGGATGTAAAATTCCTAGCTGTTATTTTGGTTGGGTTTAGTGGTTTAGATTGCATTGATGAATGGCTTGGAAGTCTGCTGTCATCATAGCAACATACTATCTTCCAACTACTATTGTCTAAGAAATAAGTAGCCTATATGCTTGTGTAGGGTAAAGTTTAGAAAGTACTTACCGATCAATTGAAGATAAAACTCTAAGATGGCGATGATAACGTAAATTTTGAACTCTTGATAAATTTAGATCTTGTGGAATAACTATACTTGGAATTTATAACGTGATTCTTATTTGTGTGTTGATGAAATGTGTGCTTTTATAACAATATGTCGAGAAATCATATGGTAATGAGACTGTATTACAAAACAATTGGAAAAAAGGGAAACCATAGATCATAACAACTTAGTTTAAGCATTGAATTAATATACGGTACTGCCACCAGGTAGATTTTTAATGTCCTATTATAAAACCTTAAGTTTGAAAAGTAATTTTAGTTGCCTATTAGAAAAGTAAAAGAAAATAATAATAAAAGAGGTTGGTGGTCTCTTTGAACCTTGCATTTGCCCAGTCCACATAGACTACAGATCTGCGTGTGGAACGTATTCAGCAAAGCAAGGGTTGAGCCGGTACAGGACGAAGGTGAACTGTACTGATAAATGTTTGTGGCAGTGACCAGGATCCGAACCCACGACATCACTGCCTTGGTCCCGAAGTCCGTGACGCTACCAACGCTACCTACAAATTTGTTAAGTACTTGTTTCTCTAATCTCTAAAAATAAAATTTCTACAGATTTGGATGAAATTCCGATTAAGATATTGAAATGAACATTTATAATTATTGCCAAGCCTTTGAATAAAAATAATAAAATACCTACAGAGTAGTGTTTTTCTTATCAATAAATATTTGTTGAAGTCAAACGTCTTCCCGGGGCCACAAACACCATACGTTCAAAATGTTACGTATAATATATTTATTCATAATAAGTCATATGTTGGGTCATATAGATCAATGCACCGATTGGCTTTTGGATCATTCAACTATAACACTTCAAAACTGATATATGCTGATATATAACTGAGTATGCTTGGATGACGAATATTTTACAAAATTTAGAGAGCAGTTTAATTTTTAAAGGT